CCCCCCCCGCCCGGACGATCACTCCTGCCCTGCTCCTCTCCCTGGAGCACCCCCTGACTGAGCAGGACACTCATGGGGAAAGAGGAAATGCTTCAGGATGGAGGCAGGAACCATGGGTCACCTGGAAGACAGCCTTGGCTCGGAGCCGCTCTGCCAAGAGGAGCAGGACCTGGGCGTTGAGGCTGCCACTGCTGTCCATATCCCCCACCACAGTGGGGAACACCTGTTGAAGAGCGCACACAGTAAGACTGAGCTGGGGGGGCACCACTCAGCTTCCATCCAACCAGCCAGGATTTCTTAACAGTACCCAGCGCCCCCTAGTGGAGCCGCAGAGACAAACTCCGGCTCATCACAAGCAGTTCCCCCACTCTCTCCCATTCAGAGGAAACAGAGAAGCAGGTGCCCTGTACATTCTTCCCCATAACGCACTCATTTCCTCCTCCTCTCGACCCGAGTCCCGGCTGGGCTTTGAGGGAGATGACCCAGGTGTGAGGAGTCCTCACCTCGGTGGGGCTAAGTTGCCAGTCCCCTGCATAGGCTGCATGGAGGTGATAGCCTGGCAAGCCCAGGGCACTCATATGCACCGTGTGAGCCACCTGAGGAAAGAGAAGTCATGGAGGAAAGCATTCCTGCCCATTTCAATCCCCGTTCCACCCTTCCTCTTCTCCCCATCTAGAAGGCCTAATAAGAATCCCAAATATCCCAGCATACACAGAGGGTCACCAAAACTAAAAGCAACAAGTCCCCCAGGCAAGGGAAGTAAAGAGAGCCCCACATCCTCCCTCATTTGTCCCACATAGCCTGGTTAAGGCTTGAGTACAAAGGCAAGGAGGAGAGGATCCAGGGATAGGAAGGCAGGAACCGTAAGGAGGGCCAGAGAAGTGGGAGCACCTGGAAATGGCTGCTCAGAACCTTGTTGACAACGAGCTTCACTCCCTCCATCTGTGCTGGGAACACATCTGAAGGGGGTGGAGGGGAGGGGAAGGGGAGGAATATAAGCACAGACAAGGAACCCCCTACCCCAAGAAGTAGTCTCCCCTTGCAATCCCACTGAAAGCACTCTGGAGGCACTGACCTCCTTTCAAGTCCTACCGCGAAATGTTCCACTCCCTTCGGGCACCTGATCCTCCCTGAGGCTGGATGCCCCAGCTGGGATCTCCCCTTTCCTGCTCCCATCACAGGACACCCAGCATTCAAGACCCTCCCCTCCTCTGCCCCTTCAACGTGAGACACCCAAATGCCAACTTCTCACCTTTGCATAGCCGGTGCAGCTCATCGAAGCTCCCAGGGTTGGGCAGAGGTTCCTCTCGACGGGGACTCCGGCGGGGCAAAGCCCCCATCGGTGCCAGGCCCAGTGTGTTCCCCATTTCAGTCCAGAGAACAGGGGAGGGGCCGGGTTAGCCTGAGAAAGGACGCTATTGCTCCCTCTCCCCACCACGGGTCCCACCCCCCATCATCCGACTCCCCCGTCCCAGAAACTTCCACATGGTCCGATGCTAGACCTGGAACAGGAAGAGTGGGGAGAGGGTACCGGTGGGGAGACTGAACCCCAGGCACACTCCCGTCCCATCTTTGATTCTTCAAACCCCACCTGTCACCCCGTCCCCTCCCCCATTCTCTAATCCTAGCTCTCATCACAGACCTCACCCAGCTTCCCAGTCTTTCTGCTCTTGATTCCTAGGCCCCAAGGCGAGGCTTGCAATGAAGCAATAGCCCTTACCGTCTCAGATTATCATGCTGCCCCTTTTCCCCCGGCACACCCCGGTCATCTTGATGGGGGCAGCCATCTTGAGTGATGGCAGTACTGCGGCTTCACGCTGCATTATCAGCGTGGTCATGAGCGCCATCTTGGAATCGGGCAAAAAAAGACATCAAAGACCCGACCCTCCCTTGATTGGGCCCCGCCCAATCGATTTAAAAAAAAAAAAAAAGCTGCCTCCGTCTCCCAGGGGCCAATGGGAGAGGAGGAAGCAAAGGAGAGGCAGAGTCAGGTCCAAGAGAGCTCCAACCCAGGCACTGCAGAGGCGGGCGGGACTTGATTGGCAGCTCCTCAGACTTACTCAAGTAGATGGGCTTAGATCGCGCGGCCTCAACAAGGTCGGGAAAACGCCGTGAATGTACTAGACACCAGAGGGAGCATCTTGGAGCTTGGGCCAACTCCTTTCGCCGCACAGCCTGGAGGCTTCCGTTTTGTGAAGGGTGGCAGAGGGAATGATCGTGAATACTGCATTCGAACCCTGGTTCATATGGCTCCCAGGTGCCCCCTACTTCGAGCCCCTTAGGGACTCCTCACAGCCCCCCATAGTACGCCACAGAACCCAGTACACACCTCCAGATGAGTACCACTCGCAAGTACCGCTCTCCCTATGGAGACATGGAGGTCTACACCTCTCAAAGTTCACCTTGTAGTTCTCTTGGTGGAATGGGACTGGGTGAGAGTTTGGGATAGAGGAGCAGGGGTCGCAGCCTTAGTTCTAGCAGAATGATTCCCTGAAGCAACTGCCCCCTGTCGGCTAACCCTTCCCTCATTGCCCAGGTAGAGTTGGCAAATAAAATCAAGGAATACGGGCTCTGGCCCCCAAATGCACTCCACTCCAGAGCCAGGGACAGTCAATGGAGCACGCTTCAAGTACTAAGCACTCTACAGAGGAATAATTGTAGATGGAGTAAGATTTTTTAAGGCCCTGGTCACTTCCCTCACACCTCCATCTCCATCTCTCAAGAATGTTCTATGTACACTTTTGAGGGCAAAAGGGTAAAAGATACAAATGCTGCTGATATCTATTTAGCTGATTTCACCCAAATGCCTTGGGCTTGGGGAATGTACCTTTGTCCTCCCTCACAATTAGGGCTGGCACAGGGGCTGGGGCCTTGGTCAGAGGGATGCTCTGGCCCCTGCTGACTCATATTGGGTGACCATCACCTTAGAATGATAAGGTAATCCAGTGACCAGGGAACTTCAACCTTTATCCTTGGTAGAAGACTCTCATTCACCTCCTTTCTTGCCAGAGCCCACCATTTGGAAAGGGGAAGGCAGGGGCTACTTTCTGAATTTGTTTTATTGAGGGTAGGGTGTACTCATTTATCAGCACTCAGGAGGGTCATTCTGGGCTCTCATGTTTTCTCCCTCATCTCATTACACATTAACTGAAAACAGGACAGATTCCATCACACCTGCCCTCTGGCCCTAACCTTTATCCTCCTAATCCTCATTCCCCTGCCCCTGATTTCAAGTCCTTTCCCCTTTCTTCTGTTCCCCAGTACCCCTCTACCAAGCTGCAGTGAAGGGGATAGGGCTGGGGAGGCAAAATCTAGCCACAGTGGGACAAAGTTACCAAGGGCTGAGGGCTTATATGTCAGGGCTTTCTGGAAGAAAACTAGGAATCCTGCTTCCTGCAGCATTCAAATCCAAAGACTGCTTGCCCCAGACCCCAAAAGAATGAGAGTTGAATAAGCCTGAAGTATACCCCCTTGGCCTCCACTAAGACCTGCACCCCCTGCCTCCCACCTCATCACCATGATCCCCCACACGCGTGTCCTCTCCTCCCCCATTTCTCCCACTTGTTTACTCCAACGTGGCCCCTGCCCCAATGGCGCTCTTCCACAGTCCTTATCACCTGACAGGGGGGTGGGGAAGCAGAAATATATATAGCTCCCGTCTCCCCAGCCAGGCCAGACACAGACAGCAAGGGCAGAGACGTCGACCAGGTAGGGTAAGGGAGCGAGTGGTGTGGCCAGGATCCAGAGCAGACCAGGTTTTAATGGTGGGAAGCTAGGGAACCAGGGTGGAGTGGGCACCTAGGTAGGGGTCTCTGGGGGGGGGGGGCTGAAGCTCATTCCTCCCGCACCCCCAACTGTTTCCAGGCCACCATCCCCACTGTTACCACCATGAAGCTGCTTGCCTTGGCTGTGCTTCTCCTCGCCGTCTGTAGCCTTGAAGGTGAGTGTGATATGGAGAGGGGTCCCAGGAAGGAGAAGATGCCCTTAGGGGTCCTAGCTACCCGTCTGTCTGGGCTCCTATGCCAGAGTGCTCCAAAGGAAGATCACTCCCTCTCTAAAGCTCAGAAAGCTCATCCAGAGACCTGGAGCTGGGTAGCTGTTTGGGGAGGGGGCTGAGAGAGGGGGCTGGCTACTGACAGAGGTATGGCAGGAGGCCAGGACTCATTGTTGGGGACCCAGCTGACGAGGGGTGTGTGTGTGTGTGTGTGTGTGTGTGTGTGTGTGTGTGCGCGCGCGCAGGGGCTTTTGTTCGGAGACAGGCGGAGGAGCCGAATCTGCAGAGCCTGGTCGCTCAGTACTTCCAGACCATGACTGACTATGGCAAGGACCTGTTGGAGAAGGCCAAGGGCCCAGAGCTTCAGGCCCAGGCCAAGTAAGTCTCAGTGAAAGGGGCTCAGGGGGTGCACCCGGCTGGCTCAGTCAATGGAACATGCAACTCTTGATCTCCACGTTGTGAGTTCAGGCCCCACATTGGGTATAGAGATTGCTTAAAAATAAAATCTTTAAAAAAAAAGAAAAGAGAAGAGAAGAAATAAAGAAAGGGGTTCAGGAACCAGGGAGCTATAGAGAGAAAGAAGAGAAGATGGGAGGTTGCACAGAAGATGGAGCTCAAGGGTGAGAGTTAGAGAGGGTGAGGTTTAAGTTGGAGAGAATAATTCCTTTGCCACCTTGTAGATCTCAGGGACCTCTTGGACAGATAGGGCCAGCAGGAACTAGGCTTTGAATTTCTCTCTCCAGAATCTGTTCCTCTACTCAGTGGAGGGCTTGCCTCCTCTCCTGGGAGCATTGCCATGCCAGGATGGACCAGGCCCTAGAGTTTGGGGAGCTGGGTCTCACCTCCCACGAGCCACGAGGCCCCTGCCAGCGCCTACGGTCTCTCACACTGGCCTCTAATCCTTTGAATACACAGGGCTTACTTTGAGAAGACGCAGGAGCAGCTAACACCCCTGGTCAAGAAGGCCGGAACCGACCTGATCAACTTCTTGAGCAATTTCATGGACCTCAGAACACAGCCTGCCACCCAATGAGGCGTCCAGACCATTGTCTTCCCTCCCCTGCTGGCCCCTAGAACCCCCACTGGCCAGGTCTGGAGCCCTCTCCCAACATGCTCCTTGTTTTCTACAATAAATACTGAAGGAGTCAGGTGTGAGCCTGGTGCTTTGGGGGACTGGGAGAAGTAGGGGTATTGGTGAGGGGAGGACCGAGAGGCCTGCTCCTGCTAGGAGAGGGGTTTGGTGTGAGGAGTGGAGGGAGGGATGAAGAGACAGATGGTGGAAACAATGGGGAAGTGGTGTCTGTGATTCTTCTCCATGCCTGACGCATCTTCCCCCAGCCTGGGATCTGCTCTGCAGCAGAGGCTTAGGCTCTGCACTGCACAAGGAATGGTGAACCGCAGGGGAGTGTCACAAACTGAGGCCCTAGACTACCAGAGGTCACAGGAAAGGAGGGCATCCCCTCCCCCAGAACTTCCTCTTGATCCTTCTATGAAGAGGAGAAGGCTTCCCATAAATGAACCCAGAGGTGTCAGCCGGGACCCTGGCTTCCCTTCTGAGCCAGGGGAACACCATGCTTCCCCCCATCCTACAGAAAAGATAGATTCACTCTTCTTCCCCAAAAGTGCTCAAACCCTCCTTCCATTTAAAATCTCTCACCTAGACCCCCTGTCTGGGGAACACCCATTCCAAACCTCTCCCGCTATTATCTGGGTGCTAGTCACAGAACTGGCCGGGTGGTCAGATCTGGAACTCATAGACATGAGGCCACCTAGGCGCCAGACAGGTCTCCTGGATTAAATCAAAATGGAGTGGAAATCAGGCTGGGCCAATGTGGGAGACTCACAATACCAAAGTGGAGCTCAAGGAAGAGGAGGCATCTTCCAATAAAAGTTTGTTCCCACTTCACACTTAAAGCAGTTACCTCCCTGGCTCATTTCTCATAGCTCATCTGAAATCACTGCTTCCCAGACATCGGACATGGCTCCAATTCCTTCCATGTATCCATCAGTCTTCAGTCTGGCCTTCAAGGCCCTCACCACTCATGGCAAGTTTCTTCCCTAGTTTCTGTTTTTCTCTCACGTGGCAAGATGTGTGGGGACAAAGAGAGCTCAGTCTGTCACTTGCAAGATGCCCTTGGACAGGTTAATTAACTTCAAAGAGCTGGATCTTCCTCCCGGGGTCAGTGAGCAGATCCAAGGGTGCAAGAGAGCCGGGAACCATAGTGGACGGTGTAAGTCGCTGTGCAGTGCTGAGTCTTACCCAGGACGGGTGGTGCCAGGGGTCGGCCCGGGGACCCGAGACCCATTCTGCCGGGGCTGCTGGGTCGGAGGTAGGACCTGCGGCATCTGATGGGATGCAGGAAATGCTGCCTCCTGGCGGAGCGGCAACGGGAACAGCATGGACCTGACCACGGTGATTCCTTAGTCACCCACCCCGGCACTCGGAGGAGCTGACCTCCCATCTAGACCCCATTGCTCCCCTTTGCCTTACCCATCTCCAACCCTTACCTGGCCCTCTAAGGTCCCTCTTGCCCCAGAACCCACTGAAAACTCACTGTTCCCATAAACCCTTCCATCAGGGGCGTCACACGAGCCTTCATCGGGCCATCCGCTCTGCATGTTTGGCTTCTCAGCTGTGCTAATGCCCAGATGCGTGCGTGTTGGGAGCTGTCCCCACGCTGCTCCCTGAAGCTCACTCTGATCCGGGTTGGTGACTGTTTGGGGCTGCACAGCCAGGCTACTCCACAACCCAACCCTGGTTCAGTTGCCGGACACGGCAACTGAAAGCCAAGCTGGGTGCAGACGTCATTTCTTAGGTTCCGATGTTTCTGAACGTGCCCAGACTCCCGACACCTCCCTCCCTGTTCCAGCTCCATGCCAGCGGACCTGGGGCCGAGGGTCTCATCCCTGCCTCAGCCACGGTCAGCTTTCACCCCTCGAGCAAGCAACCTCGCCCCGACGTCTACCAGACTGTGAGCTCTGTGAGGTCGGGGGCTGGTTACTCAAAACGGCATCTTCGGTCCCCAGACTAGCGCCTAGTAGAGGCTGAATAAATATACGGTAAATGAAGAGAGTCCAGGTTGCAGCGGCTTTATTGGTGGTACTCTCTTTCCATTGTTGAGTGGGAGTGGGAGACGGGAAGGAGAAGGGTGGGGAAAGGCGGTGAAATTAGCATATAAACATTAATGATTAGCATCTGAGCAGAGGTCTTCGGTGGGGAGGAAGAACCACTGGTGTGCAGTAATGGGGGACATAGCATCATTAAAGAGGTGGCCAGCTGGCTTTAAAGGGAGGCAAAGGAGACGCCGACCTGAGGGCTAGGAGGAGAACCAGGAGGGGAAGGAGGTGGCCAAGGGCATCTGTTCTAAAGTTACTGGGGTGGTTTCTCATGCTTCAGGGTCTCATAAGTCTCCTGGTTCCGGGTGCTCAGGCCCTGGAGGTGGAGGTCAGAGGATGGTCAGGAGCTTGAGCCCATCGCAAGGCTCCCACCCACCCCCACAGACCCCATGTCTTCCAAAGATCACACAAAATCCCACCCTCTTCTGCTGACTTCCCAGGACTGGGGGGTGGGGAGGAAGGCAGGTTCACTCACCGTGTAAATGCCATCTGATTTCTGCGGAGGCAAAAGGGACAAGGCATTAGACACCCACGCCTCCTGCGGGGTCCCTCGGCCTCTTCTTCCCCACCCGGTGAGGTATGTGGCCAGGGCCAGCTGGCCGCTTGGGCTAGAGGGCACTGGGGGCTCCGGGGCATGGATGCCCGTTGGCCCGCGTGGCTGCAGATGCACACACACCGCGTACGTCTCTCACGCACTCAGTGTCACTGTCCACTCGCCCTTGTCGCCTGCCAAGTATCTTACTTGTGACTTGGCTCGGCGGCGGGGTGGGTAGGGGGAAGTGGGAGGGGACCTGGGAAGCTTGGCGTCTGCAGCCCTGACACCCGGGCGCAGAAGGGGCCATACCTCGAAGCTGGTTATAGCTGCCTTCCGCACCTGGATCTGGAGCGGGGGAAAGGTAATCAGTAAAGGCGACGTGAGCGGCCCAGCCCCATCCCCCGCAACTTTGCGGGAGACCCCTATTACTCCCTCTCCTCAAAGCCGAGCCCGGCCCTCCCAGGCCTCCCGCCAGCGCCTCCCCCAGCCTCACCTTAAGTCTGCAGTAGAGCAGAGTGAGGACGATACCATACAGAAACAGGATGGCGTCCAGGATATAGCAGAGCTGAGGCTCTCCCAGTGCGGCTGAGGGGACAGAGGGTGCCCGCAGGGTCAGGAGCATCAGGCAAGGTCCGGCGCTCAGAGGACAGGACCGGCAGGTGGGACAGGGCCTGGTGGGGAGCCTCCCAGGAGAGACACTTGCTCTTCCTCCCTGGAGGGAGCCGATTTTTCCCAGCTTTCCCCCTTCTGCCTCACCCTGGGGCAGGGCTGGGCCAGGAAGTGGGGGGCGCTCTGCTGCCTGCTCTGATGGAGCTTACAGGCACTGAGAGCCCAGGAGGGAGCCCCCTCAGGGCCCCCCGCGGCCCCCAGCCCTCTGGTTTTCGCCCTGTCAGTCCCTCAGGCACCACTGAGCTCTTCACAGCCCTCAAGGGACTTATTTGTGTTCACTGGGCGAAGACCAAAACCTCAGCCCAGAGGGGTAGGGTGAGGGCCATGCAGTGACAAATTTCACTGAAGAAACCACAGGAGTGTCTCTGCTAAGTCCTGTGACCTGTGGCTGAGGGCTGGACAGGAAGGATGTGAACCGAGGGAGGGAGGGAAGGCAATTACTCGGTTATTGGTCATCTCTGAGCCTCAGTCTCATCACTCTCCGGCCCGCTGTAGGGGGCTTGAAAAGGGGAGAACAGGTATCTGCTTTCCTAGGCCTTACAGATCGCGACAGCTCTGCGCACAGCCGGGCGAGCGTCTCTGCCCAGGCTCCGGGGGGATGACCACAAGCTGGATTCCGTCTCTGGGCACTCTGCCCTGTTACTCACTCACTCTGGGCCACAGAGAGAGGAAGTTTTGTGCAATTTAAAAAATCAAGTAAGGTCTGAGCACCAGCCTCTATCGGCCCTCGGTCGCTATCTGAAGGGCTCACGGGCACGTGCCATGACGCTCTTTTGCACAGTATTTCATAAATCGAAAAACTAACGGCTGGGGGGTTGGGGGGGGGGCACGACATCATTATCGCCATTTTACCAAGGATGAAACGCAGGCTCGGAAAAGCTAAGTAACTCCTTTAGGGCCAGAGAGCTACGTGACAGAGCTGGTGCTCAAATCCAGGCTTTCTGCTTTCAGAGCTCGTGTCCTAACCTGCCTCGGTGCGCCCGCTCTGTCCTCATCTGGTGACACCCGGCACCAACGGGATCCTTCCCTCCACCTCACAGCTGGGCTGCTGGACTCCCCGGCCGGTCTCTTTCAATTTCCCACTTCCCTGAAGTTTCACGACCCCCCTCCTCCCCGGCCCCCAGCTGTAACCCTCGTCAAAACACACACACACAGCCAGCCCAGAGCCAGCAAGACGTTGACGGTTCAGAAATTGAGTGACTGGAGCCGTGGGCTGCTGAGACTGTCCCGTGTCTGCCTCCATTTCTTGGCTGGTGCTCAGGCCTCTAGAACCGGGCATTGTGTGCTGCCCAACCCCCCCCCCCCCCCCCCGATAGCAGCTGTTGGCAGAGTGGCCCAGGCAGGTGATGACCCAGAGAGGCAGAAAACAGGTCTACTTTGACCATCCTTGCCTCACTCCCAAGCCGAAGGACAGGCTCCCGCCTTCCTAGAGGGGCTTTATGAACATTATTATCCAGCTAGAGATCAGCTCCCAGTGGACTAGCCCAAAGGCACCACACAGGAAACGCTGATCACGGGAAAAGGAGCTTCTCCCCAGCTTTTCATGTCATACAACCATTCCTTCCCCTGCCAAACTGAAGCCTTCCCCATGATCAATCCTGAAAAAGTAAGGAGACATGAAAGGAGGGAACTAGGACTCTTGTGCCCTGATGGGGACCAGAAGGGACCAGCCTCAAGGTCTCAGTGCCCACCCGAACCCTGCGCTCACCTGTCGTCCTTTCCCGATCTGCCCCTGCCACGGCCCTCAGACGAATGCCCTCGATTCCCACCCTGGGGCCCAGCTCCCGAGCCCTCACCAGACCCTCTCACCTGCTTGTTCAACCAAAAGGAGCAAGAGCAAGACCACTGCTGAAATCATCTTGGGCAGGGGCTGAAGGGCCATGAGCCGGGGATCGGACGCTCTGCCGCCACTGCGCAGCTGTGCTCGGCGGCTCCCTGACCACAGAGTTCCCCCCTTCCTGCCCCGCCTTCCCCCAGCTTTGGCCCCTTCCCCTTCCTGCACCAGAGCCCGGGCGGCTCCCGGAAGGCCAACTAAGGGAGTCAGATCTGGGTTCTCATGCCTCAGTCCTTCGGTGACCAAGCCCCAGGCACTGAGGGACGGGGGCGCGGACGGGCGACGCCTGTGCTGGACAAAGGCTAAATCGGCCATCACCCCGTGTTCAGATACATCTGGAATAAACTGTCCCTTCAGGGTCCCTGAGACCCCACCGCAGCCCTTTCCCTTCCACGTGGAGTTTTACCCCCGTCTTGATTGGAGAGGTTTACCAATTTGTGTAGGCAGCCAAGTTTGGGCAGGGTGAACCGAGGGGAAAAGAGGAAATGGGGAATGGAGAAGTGGACGGGCCAAGAGTCAGAGAAGGGGGTGGAGATGAACAGGAAAAACTGGCGATAACTGAGTTTCACAGAGAACTGGAGGGTTAATTCACATTCTTAACTTTTCCAACAAAGTCAAAGATGGTAAGATACCGAGAAAGACATATCAGAGGTTTGGGCAGAGCAGCCGGAAGGCGGCTAATTTATTATAATTTCTCCTTTTCTAGTACATGCACAGAAAGCCTGACGGCTGAGTGTTCACGGGTGTGCGCGCGTGCACACACACACACACACACACACACACAGTCCCTGTCCAGGGACGGCCAGGCTCCGAGGAGGAAGCAGACAGGCAGGGGGATCAAATGCTTTCCCCAGCTCATCGATCCACTTCTCCAAACACAATATCTTGGGTACCTAAGAGATCAGCGGGAGGAGAAAAAAAGCGGTGTTATCAAAAATCCAGAACTCACAACTGTGCCCAGCGGACTGAGGAGCTGAGTCCATGCCCAGTCTCTGCTGAACAGGAAGCGTTCGGTTTCTGCCCCAGTTAGAACCCCACACTCCCTCGTCTACGGCGTCTCGTACCTATGATAGCAACAACATCCGCCAGCATGTGTCCCTTCGACATCTTGTCCAAACCAGCCTGGAGAGACGGAGACAGCAACAGTGGTGGCAAGATTAGTGGAGTGGGACGAGGAGGAAGGAAAGTTCATCAATATCTCACCCAAGGTGACTAATGACTGATTGATTCAGTGGAGTGAGAATCCCTGGGGCTCGGTTCTTACCAGGTGGGCAAAACCAGGAGCCTTGATCTTGCATCGGTAAGGGCGGCTGCTGCCGTCGGACACGAGGTACACCCCGAACTCTCCCTGTCCGAGGAAGAAGGTTAGCTGCCTCCGTGAACAGGAAGAACACTCTTCTCTGCCAGTGAAGCCTCTCTACTCACCCACGTGTCCCCTCTCTCGCTGATGCCCAAGCCTCTATTTGCGCACCTGTCTCCAGCCCCCCAGGCCCTGGGCTGCCTTTTCCTTTCCCGACTCTCCTCACCTTAGGAGCCTCAATGGCAGTGTATGTGGCCCCCGGAGGGACTTGGTAGCCCTCCGTGTACAACTTGAAGTGATGGATCAATGACTCCATGGAAGTCTGGAAAGAGGAGAAAGGGAGCAGCAGTGAGCCAGATCCAAATGTCTCCCAGGCCTTCCCGCAGCACAGGAAATAACCTGCCCCCTGGGGGAGACTAAAACCCACACTGTGAGCAAAAGAGGAGTCTACGGGAGGTTAAGACTCCCACAATGAATTCTTTCAAAGAGCCACTCATCCCTGGCTGCCGGCCCCTCCCCCCCTCCCCTCTCGCCAGAGCCAACCTTCATCTCTGCTCGCTTAGGGGGAGACACTTTGGCATCATCAACCTTGATCTCCCCGGGAGGCATCTTGTTCAGACACTGCGCGATGATTCGAAGGGACTGGCGCATCTCCTCCACCCGACACAGGTATCTGAAGGGGATGAGGCAGGTTCAGAGCATCAGATGTGAGGATGCCCTTGGCCAGCCCAGAGGGCTGGCTGACTTGTTATCGCCCTCTTTTCTCCCAGTGCGGCATCTTTGCCTGCCTTGGCCGCCCCGGTAAAAGCTCTAGTCTTCTGGTTCTGGTGCTGGCCCCTGCCTCAAGTCCTCTCCTCATCTTCTCAGCCCATGGCCTGTAGTAGTCCCCTCTTCAGTTACCCTCTTAGACACTTCTGTAGTAGTCCCCTCTTCAATTACCCTCTTAGACACTTCCTGGACTATAGAACGGGGCAGGGTCAAATTGGCTCGAAAAGAAAACAGAAGCCAATCTTACTCAGGGTCAGTAAACAGGAATGGAATGTGAAGCTTAGAATCCAGTGGAAAGAGCATCGGATCAGGAGGATTCTAGTCTCAAGCACCACTAACAGGATAATCCCAGGCCAATCTCTAACTTTTACGCCTCAGCTTTCTCAGCTATAAGAATGCAGCCTAAACTAGTTCCACCTAAGAGACGTGAGGGTAAAAGAAATGGCTCTGAACAACAACCGAGTTTAACAGACACAAGAGCTCCAGGAGCTGTCGGAAAATACGGGAATAAAGAAAATAGCCAAGAGAAAAGTCAGACAGGGAAAAACAGCTGGAAAATGAGCTGAGACATCTGGGCCTTACCTATCGTAGCAGTCCCCTCGAGAGCCAATAGGAACATCGAAGTCCACCTGGTCGTAAACATCATAGGGCTGCGTCTTCCGCAGGTCCCACTGGATACCTGAGCCCCGGAGCATCACACCACTGGGGAGTGGGACGGGAACAAGGGTCCCTTTCCATGAACCAGGAAAGGAGGCGCACTCTCTTCCTTGGTCTCCCTGCCCCCCAACACACACACACTCTGGGCGCGGGATCTAATCTCAGAGCACGGCACGGACGGCACCACACCTTCCTGAAGCCAAGGTATTAGGCTGGAATCCCCCCACCCGAGCGCAGAAATCACATTTCTCTCACCTAAACCCATAGTTAAGCGCGTCTTCGGCTGTCACAACACCAATGTCAACTGTCCGATTTCGCCAGATCCTATTGTTGGTCAGCATCTATTGATCAAGAAAACTGGATGTGAACGCTCTTTATAACTCCCTTCAGATGCCTCTGTGGTTCTTTACGAGGGACTAAAATCCCACGAGCCTTTCTCGAGGGGAAAAGAGGGATTTTCCCCACTGGCTGCTATCTTACCTCTTCCAACTCATCAACCCGAAGAGAGAAGTTCTTAGAAAACTCATAAATATCATCCAGAAGCCCAAGGGGCAGGTCCTAGGAGCCAAATGGAGAATGACAGTGAGCCAGGCTCAGCCTCCCTGCCCCACGGCTTCAGGGTCAGCGGTTCCATCGGCCAGCGCTGCCCTCCAGTGGCCATGGAGGATACAGGCGTGGGCTGGAAGTTTGGGGAAGGCAGGGGAGCGGGCTCACCTGGTGCACACCTCCTGGCCGGACATAAGCAGCATGCATCCGAGCCCCGGACACGCGTTCATAGAATTCAAACATCTTGATAAGACACACTGGGAATTAGTGACAAAGTCCTGGGCCCCAAGTCCAGCAACATGCTGGTCCACTCCCCTGCCCCCTGCTTTCCGATACCCGACCAACCCCTCACGACACAGAGTTCCTTAAGAATAGAATCCAAAGGGACGCCTGGATGGCTCAGTCGTTAAGCGTCTGCCTTCGGCTCAGGTCATGATCCCAGGGTCCTGGGATGGAGCCCCACATCGGGCTCCTTGCCCCGCGGGAAGCCTGCTTCTCCCTCTCC